GCTAATGGAAAATTTGGTATAGAAATATCTAAAACCAACGTATATTCAGACCATACTTGATTTGCAGTATTTAAAACTAAATAAGTTTTATTTCCGAAGAGTTGAACAACGGATTGATTCGTGTCTGGGATAGCCTTGAAATAGTGCGACTCATCACGACCAATCGATTTTTTTGTTTCTTCCCATAGATCTTGCTTAAATGGTTCACTGAATGAAACGAGTGTTTCATTCGTGAAATATTTTTGTTCTGCTTTGAATTTAATGGTATTTAGTTGTTTTTGATATTCATTTAATTTCTGATAATCGATGGCAACATACGCGAGACCATATGTAAAAAGACGTCGAATATGTTCTTCCGATAATATATATTTCCATATGCCTAAATTTCGAATTCCAGCATTTAGACGTGGTAAAAGCTGTAGATTCAATTTTGAATCAAAATCGTAGTAATAATCCAATGTGTGAAACCTATTGTTAATATAGACTTTTGCTTGTTCGTTTATTTGAAATAGAATTGCAACATGTTGTCGATTTATCATGGTTTCATCGATGAAATCGTCATTCATACAGACATGAATAGAAAACATTGTGCCATCTAACTTAAATAAATCAACATCAAATTCATCAGGACGATTTTCAATCGCAGTAATCTCAAAATCAAAACTAATAGTATATGATTGATGATTGTCTAGTGACAACAGGAAGCCATCACTCTCTTCGGATAGTTTCAATAGATAATCATCTTTTGTTATCATATCGATATTAAAGGGAACTTCACAATGTTCATTATTGACAAAATCACGTAACAAAGAACTTTTCTTCTCAGTGAAATCATTTTTTGAACAACGACTCGTATAGAAATATTGTTGAATATCATTACCAATAAGATATGCACTATAAGGGTATGCCACTAGTACATTTTCCATTGGCAATACTTTTGGCATTAGTAATGGTTTGTATCCTTTTGGCAGAGGACATTGTATCATATCTTCTGGACTAAATATAAATTCAAAAACACCTGTATGAGCTACATTACGATAGACTTTTACAGTCACAGCAGGAAAATAACTAGCAAAAATTCCATTTGGTAATAAATTTGTTTTAACTCCTGATTTAATTGTTTCATTATCAGAAGTTGAAAACAATGGACCTAACGCTCTACCATTTAACCAATATTGGATATTCGTATTTTTACCATCGATTTCAATACCACAGCCGCATACGTCCTCTTCGTCCCAATCATTTTCACGAAAAAACATACTATGCCGATTACGATCATAAACTCCTCTTGCTCCATCGAAACCCCATGAAAATCTATCATCACCAACACCATAGTCATCAGTTTGCACTGGATTAAATCCATTTGTTGCCCAGCCAATTTGTGCTGCCCCACCTAGCGGAAGTTTAACACAAAAATACCATTTTCCTTCATGCAACTCTATGCCATCGGGAATAAAAGTTCGATATCGAATGTTTCCAGTGTCATCGCATATGTTAATTCGTCCTTTGAATTTATGCTTGATACCGCATTCTTCTAAAGCCGGTATATTATCATTGGCAGGCACAGAAATAATGTTAATTTCATTATTTCCCAATCGACCTTTTTTGTAGGATTTTATCTCACTTTTAAATGCAATCGGTTTCCAGTCATCATCTATCGAACTTGTTTCAGATAGATATTGCAGAATAATAGGATCGCGAATATTATGAATAATGTCAAGTTTGTTTTCGACGATTTGATTTTTTCTTGCACATCTATCTAAACTTAGATGATACTGTTCCAAATGTAATCTATTAAACAATCGTAAATCATTTGGTATGGTACTACGAACTGAAACAAGATAGTCCATTGAAGTCGATAGTTTAGCAATAATGGATGCATAAGGTTTTTGCATGAAAATTTCAATGACTTGTTTATAACTCAATACAGCATAGAATGCTGTTACGGCACGACATTTTATATCTAATAACATCAACGAATCACTGATTGATGTATCGATTTGTGCAAGAAATCCTAATGTATCCAGAATAGTATGCACTGCATTATCGATTGGCAAAAGTGAGAGATTTGTTGGTAGAACATCAACAATGATACGTATTTTATTTGACGAAACCCATTCAGTTTGATTCGTGACTGCGTATTGTACAAGATAAGGTTTAGAATCGGATGAATCCGATTCAAGAGCGTCCATACTGATCTCAATTATAATTCCAGGTTGTAATTCATCCATATTTATATCAGTTGAATAGATTTCTACAGTTGATCCCAAACAATACGGTGGAACATAACCACCTAAGATACATATGGATGCAAGAAAGAAATTCATTTGCTGTAATTCAACCGTTTCTAATGATCTGAAATTGAAATTCATACACGATTTTATTGCATCGACAAGCAATTGAGTTGCGAACTTTTTCCATGGTGAATTATATGACATAATCGTACGATAGATATAGATAAATTCAATGATAATATCAAGATCTATTTTTTCGGTTTCTAATAAATTAAAATTTTGACCAATAGAAAACAAAATTTTCTTCAATAGATTTTCAACAAAAGATCTATTTGTATTCTCTGGTAAGAATACTAATAGATCGCGTAGAATTTTCAGTGTGAGTAGACGAATACTAAGCGATTGACTTGTATGATATAAATTGAATAGTTGTTCAATAAAATCCATTGTAGCATAATTCAATCGAATATGATCATATAAATGAACACAACGAAGTAGAAGCATTAAATATTGATGAATACAAATGTCAACATCGAATTTTGATGATGCAACAAAAGAACGAAGGGAAACATTTTTAAACGATAGGTCTCCGCATTTTGTTTCGGATGTCGATTTATTTTGTTGCAATTGTTTGAGTTCAGTTAAAATTAATTTATTAAAAACTAAATTACATTGTTGTTGTAAGGTATGATGAAATTTCCGAGTGCCGAGATGTATATATCGTAATTCTTCCAATTCGATATTTTCGCATAGTTTTAATACAACTAGACGAAACCAATTGAATGCGATGAGTTTTATATTCGTCGAATCGACACTTGTCGTATCTATTTCGGTAAAGCTAATAAATGAACCAAATAGCTCTTGAATAAATTGAAAATTATTCAAAAGACATAAATCCATTGAATCGTAGTTTAGATTGATCAGATTAAACACATGTACCACGAGCAATGTTTTCATGTTAGATTCCGTGGAAAATGATAATATGTTTTTAACAATTTTATGATACAAATGTCCAATATCTTCTTTCAATTGATTGTTTGATGCTTGGATATTTTCAAGATAATGCCAATCTAAATTATTATCTTTTAAATTCATAAACAAAATGTTCACAATTCGATTACTGTCCTGGCTAGTAATAATTACTTGTTCAATAAATCGATAAGTAATCAATCTCGTCATAGCTCGTTGATATTGTCGCGAGAGACATTTAACAATTTCATCGAATTCAATTTTCAATTTCGCGCTTCCTCCAGATGTCACTTTGTCATTTCCATACAGACAAGATACAATGGCTCGATGCATAATACTTTCGCAATCTTTCTTTTCTTCAACAGCGGTTCGTTTTTTTTCCAACATCAAATGTTTTAATCGTATACAAGCATTTAATGTATTACGAAGTAGTCGAATAAAATACTTTGCTTTTGTCTCACGCGATTGTTGTCGTTTTAATTGAGTTTTTTTCGTAGTAACATTTAGTAATGAGAAATTTTCTTTGATTTTTGGAATGAAAGAGCTCTCCCTGACTGATAAGAGTAATAATAATGCGTCCTTTTTTATTTTCTTACAAATTTCATCGCAATCACCACCTCGAGCTTTTGTCGTTGCAAAAACTATTCGTACTTGATTGGCATATTCATAGAGTAAGAGAAGTTTAGCATGCGGTTTTTGCTCAATCGGTCGACTTAACTCCTCTTGAGCTAGCTCAATACGACGATAATGTTTAATATAAACAGCGAATACTGCAGCACATGCTTCATCAGCAACGGCTTCAACCGATTGTAATATGTTTTGTTTAATTCGAATGAATAATTTCATTTTTGATATTAATTGTGCGCCTTGATCATTATTGCGATAAATTGAAATTAAAAAATCATTGTCTAATATCGATTGTTGTCGTCGCAATGGCATAAAATATCGACTGTAAATAGTTAAGTCAGATTTGAATAAATTCGATAGATATGGGTTTACATCTGCTGTTAGAGTTTCATAGCCGCCAGAAAATAATGGTAATTTCAATGTTGTATTATATTTTTTCTCTAATGGACTCTGTGGCGGACCGATCATTAAACGATCGCTCATTTTTCCTAAAAGCCATGAAATTAAATAACTAGTTTTATCGTCTGCGTCGATTTTTGTCTGTGTTAAGTATTCAGCAAATAATGGCATGATAATCGCAAAAATGGGTTGTATGATAGCAAAGTTAAATTTTGATTCAGTCAGAGCACATAGACCAAGAAGAAGTGGTTCGAATAAAACACTTCGAATTTCTTGTTGAAGACAAACTTTGATTACATGTCGTGTATATTCTATGCCAAGTGTTGATAGAGCCGATGATTCAAGTTCATCAGATATATCGACTGGTTGATTATTTAAGTGAACTAAAAGTAATTCTTGAAACATGATTATAATTTTTCGCAAGCGATTAACTTGTTCAATGTCTACGGAAGTCGATTTTAAGATAATATCAATGAATAAATGTAAAACTGTGTATGCTAATGTGCTTTCTTGAGTATTACAAAGCGCTTCAATCCATTTGTTTATGAATACTTGTTGATTTAGTTTTTCTAATAACTGATCGCTTAATATTGGATGTTTGTTTTCAATGATATGCGTATGAATGAATGTTAACATTTTATCAAACGATGATGCTTGTTTTTCAATCAAATAGGTTAATGCTTGTGAAGCTTCCTTTTGACTCTCTTGCAATTTATCATCAAAAGCTAATTTAGACAACAGCACGAACCATTTTTCAATATCATGTTCGTTTAAAAATTCATGAAAATTATCGAAGTTTGCAGTCACTAAAAATTGTAAATGTGTTGTGAATAATCTTAAGCAAACATTCAAAATATATTCAAAATTTGCATCGAACGGTTCTGCTGTTAATTGTTCGATTATTTCATACAGATATTTAAATGTTTCTGATTCTAATTCAAATGAAAATGATCCATTCATCGAATCACGTTCAAATTGTGATTTTGCATGAAGTTGATTGTGTAAATCAATGTGAACGAGTAATATTGAACATATGAATTGACCAGTGAATTTATTTTCGTTTAATTGAATCAATTGTGTATTGGGAAATGCTTCAATCGACTTGAGATATTCCTCAGCAGCCAGAAGCCTCTGTTCAATATCCAAGGTTTTCTCAATTGACACTACTGCTCCTAGGAAAAAAGTCGTGTCTATTAAATATCGGACTAATGATTATCTGTTATTCTTACCGGTTGTGTTTTGATCTTGTGTTGTCACAGATGATGTTTGCTTTTCTTTTTCGAATCGATCGATCGTCATCGTAAGATGCTTGTTTAATTTAATAAGTAATTTTCTTATATCAAAAATATCATTCGTGTTGAAAATTAATTTTCTAATTAATGGTAGAATATCTTTGAATGATGCTTTTACAGTAGAAAAATTAAATAAAATTTCAATTGATTGATTTGCTGCAATCGGATCGATATCAGTTTGTAGTGATAATTGCTGCATATAATTAATTAATGGTTTTAAAGATTTAAATAAATTGTGCGATCTTTTGTAGACATCAGATGAAAGATAATTCAATGGGATTTGTTCAACGAGTCGAATTGTCAAGGAAAGCATTTGATGAACGATCGTAAAATCAGATTTTTGCACTGATTCGAGTAACACCAATAGTATATTTATGAAAGATTGAACAGCAAAAAACGATAGTTCTTTTGCTTGTTGTTCATCGGATATTTTTTCGGAATTGTTCAATATTTCAGAAAATATAGAAGTATTTTCATTTTCATCGTCTTTTAATTTTTCAACATAGGAATTCTTCAATTGTTTCTGTTTAGTAATAGTCGATTGCATAGAATTTCGTAGAGTAGTATTCGTCGTTTCAATATAATCGAATATTTTTTTGATTATTTCTGCAATTCCCGTGTTGAATTCATTGACTCCAGATAAATTCGAGAACACAGATATATCATTTCGAATATGATTGATCAATGTTTGTTTGGTAATCGATAGTTCATTTGAACTTTTCTGATTATGAAACGAATGGGAATTTTTATTGATTTCGTTAACGATGTTGAATGGTAAAAATAAATGAATATCTTCGGTTTCATTTGTGGATGATACCTCATCCGAGTGTTGAGTATTCGTTGCAAATAAATCGGGTATTTTCAAATCAGCTAAAGATACCTGTTGACCCATATCTAGCTAATTAAATGTTGTTCACAATAATTCTAAAATTACACATCGTCTTATATAATGATGATCGAATAGCAATATTCTATTTTTGATTTATGTCTTCTCTTCAGTTTTATAGATCGCTGCATGTCGTCGAAAATATGGCATCTTAATGCAATGTTAATGTTAAAATGGTGAACTATTTCAATATTCATAAAAGAAGTTGATGAAGCTATACAATCAATATTCGCTCTCATCAAATGTACAATCGTCACAAGAAAAATCTAGTGCATTTAAGTATCCTCTGTTCAGTAATACGACATCCTGAGAAAAAAACTTGACTTTCATGATTTCAAAACGGTCTAGAAACGTAAATTAGCCGATGTCCGTCCCTCTCTCTGTAAAACGATAACTATATAGGAGCTGTAGCCCAAAGAACTACAGCTTTGCTTGAAAAATCTTTAACTCGACACAGCCCGTTACAGAGACGGTTGACATGATCATACGCCTGGGTATTGTTACCAATTCGATAATATCTTTGCGATATGAATGGTCAATGATGCCATATTTGTGACCATTTGTGAATTGCACCAAGTGTTACAGAGAGATAGAGAGATAGAGATGAATTTCTGTTTCTAGATCTTATCCTTTCAGTGTAGAGGACAGTAAATATAGTTCGGAGATTATTACATCCAATCATATACAAACGCGACGAAATGTTTGATGGTTAAAAAAATGAATCTAATTTTCTCATTCCTATTAAAACATGATGATTAGTCAACGCAAAAATATTGTTTCAAACAGTTGAATAGATAAAGAATACTTGCATTACGACTTTTTCACAATTGTAATTTCGTTGAATATGGTGCATGCTGTTTTTCTTTCGGTGGCAACAAACTCACAAAAAGCAAACTGGAAAGAAAAAAAACATTTTATATTTTATTTCAACTACAGATGAAATCTTTTCGGTTCGGCTTCACTATTTTCTGTTGATGGTGCGTGTTTTATGTTTTGAAAAGAGAAAAATTTGTATTTCGATCGATTTATCAACATCTGTTTGATTTGAAAATGACAGCGCGTTACTACCATAATAATCAGTTTGAACAAATTCTACGTGGAAAGTCCATGCCCTGTAAGGGATTAGTTTTATAGAAGATTTCAAAATTTTGGTTTGTAAACATCATAGATTTACAATAATATTGGTATTGACTCAGAAAAGGATGAGAATTTTAATTTGTCTACACTAAAGAATACTTTTGAAGGAGAGATCAATGAGCACTATGATATGTTCTTCTTGTATAAATGTAATTAGGCGATGCCTTACTTTGTTCTAGAGCGTATTCGTAACGACGTCAAAACTACAATGATGTACACGTGGATTATGTTGTTCTTCCTCGACACAAATGTTAAGGAAGAACGAAAGCAGACAGCTACTGATATTTACTCTTACTCATACAGGCCTATAGACGGGAATTTTCCAGACACAGTATCGGTTAGAAAGGAAATCTTTTTATTTGTATAGTGTGAGTGTTAAATATATTTGATCAAGCCTTCTATGTTCTGGCCGCAATGACTCACATTCCATCCTACTTCAGTTCTTTTTCTACAGGTTTGAGTTATTGGTAATTTCGTATGTAAAAAAAATTCCAGGAAAAAACGGATTTTAATCGATTAGGATGTGGGTGTTACTAGCAGTCGTGACACATTCTCACTCCACTACAAGTCTCATGACATTATAGAAAAAAAACAGAAAAAAAAAACATTTTAAGTAAATTAGAATTTGAGGGGTGGTAAGATAAATAAGCATGATGGTGAATGATGTAAACCGTGTTGTTGCGATTCGTGTTCCACGACATCAGGAAGTTGAAGAGCAGTTGTTTGCCTACATCGTATCTACAATCGAAATTCACGGAATTAATCAAGTTTAACAGTCATGCGAATAATGATGACGAAACTGAACAAAACAGCAGTACCATAGAAGATATTTCGTGCGAGATTTGTCTCATCATAGTGAGGGCTATGCGATTGTTTCAAGACATTGATGCTGTATCCCCCAGGTCGTGGACGTACGGCGGGAAACGGCCGGAAAGCACAGGAAAGCGCTGGAAAGTGGAAGCAGTATTCCAGTTGGAAGTTACCGGATTTTCTTCCTGTAGATTCCGATCAACTTCCAGATGTAAAACACAGAAAACTGACCGGAAAACACAGGAAACTGACCGGAATCCACAGGAAAAAATCCGGTAACTTCCAACTGGAATACTGCTTCCAGTTTCCAGTGCTTTCCGGCCAGATACGGTGATTTTTCCGCATCTTTCCGGCCGGCTCCTACAGTATCCGTCCTCCGGAATCATTGACCTGGGCCATGAACATTGGGAGTTCTCAGAAGAATAAAACTGAGAAATATGATTATGATGGATTGCATCGGGAGCAGAATATGATGAGAAATAAAGAATGTAAAATAAAAGAGAACGTGGAGCTGTATGATAGGAAATGGACCTTCGTACCAAATATCGAATTTATGGTGTGAGTGAATATTTTTTATGAGCACGAAGTTATTGATTGTATTAAGGGCATTTTGTGAGGGCTGCTGACGGGAGACGACTGGGTTTTGTCGATCAAATGGTAGCGTAGGTGAACGTCCATGTATAAGTTCCAATGGAATGCTTCTGTAGTGGAAGAGCAAAGCGTGCTATAATTAAGGGTAACACATGGTAGTTCATCATCCCAATTGGATCGATATTGATGAGATAATGTAGCAATTTTTGCATCTATAGTTCGATTAAATCGTTCAATTTGACCAATAGTTTGAGGATGATATGATAACTGCACCCTTATTCTAGAATATTTGTTACATGAATAGAATTGAAATAAAATAATTGTCGAATTTTTTGAAACAATAATTTCGATACAACTTATACTGTAATGTTGTTGGTGTTTGCTTGTATTGCATGAAACATTTTACTTATAAACGGGTAACATTTGAAAAAGTGACTTTTAAATGAGTGTTCTGTTTAATAATTCAGAGACACTTTTAATGGATCTAACTCTTGAACATCATCGTCGCCGATAATCAATCGAAGATGATTTTTCAAGTGTCTACATTTCTTATTCAAAAATAAATCAAGTATGTCAGGCAATAAAACGTTTGATTCATCAAAGTCATAAGTAAATGATAAAGATAGCATGTCTTCTGTTGCTCAAACATAAAATACATTAAAAAGAATAGATATAGCCAGCAACCTCTTTTTAAATTAATCTAAAACAAAAAATAGATATGTTAATACAAAAATGAATATATATATATATATATTTATATTATTCGTATATGATTTTGAATAAAGAACAAATTCTTTTGAGATTATAAAAGCAACTATTTAATACAATAAATTAGATTTCTTTTTCTTTCTATTGTAAACAAGGCAATAGTTTTCTATCTCTCAAAATAAATAAGAATAACACAATAGAGGAAAGAAACAATATTGATCAGTATTGATGCGATGTCATGCGAGCAATTATAATGATTATCAAGGGTGTGTGTGTGGGTGAAGAATAGACACCCACTCACCCACGCCCTCAAAAATTAGATAGATTTACAAGAATGCACATTGATACATACTTTTAGCCTGATGAGCCTATTTATATTGGGTAGAATTTTCTTAGCTTTATTAGCTCTGCATCTAAAAAAATAGCAATTTTCTATTCAGTTTTATGCTGATTCAGAACAGTATTTTTTTTAAAGTTCACAAAATAACTGAAATTCAAATTTGACAATTTCTATAGAAAAAGAAAAGTCAAGGTAAAATTAGCATTGTCTGATCCAGACTAGCTTGTTATGATTTTCTCTGCCAAACAATGGCCGAATCGAAATAAAATATATATTTGTAATCAGCTTTATATTATATTCAATAAAAAAAATTATGGTAGACAAAAATAAGAAAGAAAAGGAAATGAGATATTTTGTACTTCTGCCATTTTTTCTATGCGTTTTCGTTCTTCATGCACTAAGCGATTTATACGAAGCAGCCCATTTTTCTCCTACTAAATTAGTTGTGGTTCTTTAGATTACTATCAGTGGTGGCGTGACTGCGTGAACTTTGCAGAGATGCAACATTCTTTTTTTGATTTATTGTGATTGAAAAATAAAAGTTTCATATCGTCCTTGGTGTGTTTCGTCTTCTCAATCAACTAAAGATTTGAAAATTTCTTTACCATTTTTATGTGAAAAAATCAATGACAATCTAATAAACTGCAATATTACTTTATTAATCATTTGTAATTGATTGTCTATGAATGCAAATATTTTCTATCGGAATTGCCTCACATGTTGTGAATAAGTCTCTGGTCTGTTTCGACAATACGAAAGACATCCATACTGCAACTTTTCTATACATTGACTCGATATCAAAATGATCGATATTGTGTTGACAATCCCATAGGATTTTGTTAGCACTGAAATAAGAAAGCAAACATGATTGAATAGTGTTTATGGTTTTGATCGATATTAACCCATAAAAGTTAAATGTCTCTCTCTAAGGATATTGTGATAACTGCAGTAAAAGTCGTTCTTTCATATGAAAATCGCTATTTTACTGGTCAAAGATATCTTTATGGATCGTTGAGACAATGAAGGATAATGTTATCACATGGAACAATATATCTTTTAAAACTTCTTTTTTTGAGCAATACTACCAATCACAAGGATGTTTAAGCTTGAAATCAATGAGTGATATGACCATTCTCCTATTACGACGGAAATGCAATCATTTTAGCTACTATAAGCGCGAAACCATTTCATTCATTGAACAATTACATATTATATTGAGCTCAACGGTTACTGACAACACAAACAAGTAGTGCTTTGTGAATCATCAGAATAATTATTTTATCGAGAACAGCATGATGAAACTCTCATAAGCACGGTTGGAATAGCAATTATGGTTGCTTAAGTACATATCCCGCACTCACATTAACACCTGTCTCGGCCTGTCATATGAACGCTCAACAGCAAAACAATCTACCAGTACGGTATTTTTTTTCTGAGACAAAAATCATACTTTTTTTCTTATAATGCTTTATAATTCATCTTCCTTTAGAAGCAATTCATTCTATTTTTATTGAAACAATAACTTACAAGGCATGAAAAAAAATTGTATTGTAGGTGAATCGTTTGAAAGAGTTTACGGAGCTGTTGTCGAAGTTAATAGTTTTCGGCTGATGATTTAAGATAGATAATATGTTTCTGTTTATCAGCATCATATTCATATTTGGAAAAATGAAATTTAACTCCAGGCCACATATGAAAGGACATTGATAAATTTGAATAACCAGGCATATCCGCACCGCAACAAACGTTTTGATCTTTAAAAGAGTTGCTTTTTACGTTTAGATCAATAATTAATAAAGTATTGCCAACGCATTCACTATCTCTCCGTTGCTTATACGCTTCAGTAAAAGCAGTGAATTTTACTTCTTCTTTCACATAATCTTTCCGTTCTTCGTCTGTGAGCTCTAGATCTTTATAGACCGTTGGTATATTAGTTGTTTTCAATTGTCTCAGTGCACGATAGAGCAGCCAAGAGAATGGACCAAGCGAGTTTGCCTGTTCACTGGTTATAGACTGAGGACTATTTAAAACTTGTGTCATCAATCCAGGCAAAAACGATGACTTCGAGTAAATGTAAATACACATTTCTGCGAGTTCGTACCGTAGTTTCAGATGTTTGCTTACATTTTCCTTTATTCCGTATTTTCTCAAGTTCAGTAATTCCTTTGTTAACCATTCGGCTTCAGAGGATTTGTCAAGCGTCGCACCTTCCCGGAGAATTCCTGTTATAGCATCGTCGAGAACACCAGCTACCGTTTTATCAGTATTTGTTAACTGCGCATCGTAATAAGCTAGTGGTAAATTGCCAGTTTCACGTACATAATCCAGTATATCACGATTTCCTGATTCTAAATTCAAGGTTAAAACAACGTGCGATTCATATATTTATTGTTAAAATCTCAAATTAGAATAATTGCTGCTATTGCTAGAGCTGTATATTAAATCGACGAAGACGAGAACATGAGAATCTAACCGAAATTATTATCCTCTTTTAAATAGGACGCTTCTCGAAAATATGTGATGCAAAGTGCAAATGTTATTAGCAATATATTAAAGTGCACAGTTTTCTACACCTATCAATTTTGGCATGCTGATACCACCTTTATTTATTGTTTAAAAACGCTCATTTTCTTTTTCAAAGATGCTTGATGCTACAGCTACGCATGTATTAGTGACTTTTGAAAAGAGCGTGGTAAGAGAACGTTTAACACATTTTATTGAAAAGAATCGGATATCTGCGTTTTCGACAATTCGTAAATAAACGTCGGAAAGCCAACGTGTGTATGACGCTTCCTACCGATAGTGTTCTTAAAGTGAAACTTATTTCATCAATGTTACAAAAGTTAGATAGTTTTTACGCCAATAAACCTTCTCTTTCCTCTATAGCACTGTGCGTCACAACGGGCAATAAATACAAGGAAAAAATTCAGCCTTCTCCCTACAACATTCAAACAGAAAACGGTGGTCATAATTTACGAAAACTCTTTCTTTCTGTCTTTCTGGTTAAGAAGAAATTTTCTTAGATGGACATAGGTGGTCAAAAACGTTCTCGACGAAAAAACAGCATGAATAATGGACAAAACAAATCTGTTCATGTTCGTCTCTGGATTTATCTCAGATTTGGATTTTTATATACTGACTTTGCTGCTCCTTATGCTCATAATATCTGGGCAAAATTCCAGTTCTTTAGATGCTTGCTTTTTGGAGTACGATAAATGCTTTACCCATTTTCTTAATCAGTGCTCCTCCCGTTGCGCTGTTTTTTTTCACTGGTAGACAGAGCAATAGCTGCTCTGTGTTCACCCCACACTCTTTCTCTAGAGTAGGCGCTGTTCTTTGTGCCTATTAAAAAAGATCAGCGAAAATAGATCAATATTGCCGGAGAAAAATGAGTAATACTTTGCCATACTACAATAAGTATGACTTGGTATTGAAATTTGTTATAGCTATGCCACTTCGAAGAAAAGCAAGGCCATGCTGAAGATTTGCACAAACAATGGGAACACGGACATGAATATCAACATCAACAGAAGCAGAGAACAAAAGTCTAAATCTGAAACATTTCGCCTGCCCAGCTCACTGAAGCTATCAAAAACTCACTCTTAAATGTTATAAACGTCGCGCCGAAAACAACGTTTAAAAATACTCACGCGATCCTTGTGTTGGTAAGGATATTGGCTCAGGCTTCTTTGAGGGAATCAGTTTTTGATCATGTATTGTAAGATCGGAAATAGAAACAGCATCAGTAGTGGTCGGTATCGTACCAACGACGGATCCTTCTGTTGCTTGGACTACTTGTATTTGTTGATAAAGTTTTTCAGCAGATTCTTTAGATTTTTTATTATTAATGTCACGGAAATCGATCCATAGTTCTCCGGCAGTGATCAGACCTAGAAATAAGTTTACAAACCATTTCTCAAGAGACTACTCCCTAAATTGGGTGCTGTTTTACCTAGCCATTCAGATGGTTTCCAACCACGTTGAGTATACACTGGTATCATCGAAATATGTTTACTTCCAGCATATTGCAACTCCTTTTTACAATTTTCTGAGTCTTGATACTTTTGTGATAAAAAGCACACAACCACAGCTGCATTCTCTACACACTCAGCCATGCTGTCAGCAGCGTACAACACAAAAAATGCTACTGTCATGGTATAACAAAATAAGAACTATTTGTAAACATACCACTGGTAAATATTTGATTTCATGCCTCCATTTATATCCATCCAGACAGTAAGATTTTTAGTGAGTAGAAAAGTGTACACCTTTTTAACTAATTCTTGGTTGTCCCATTGATAGGAAAGCATCACATGTTTAGACTGTGACACCGTCCTAGTTGATTCCACTTTAGATGTCGAACCATTTGGCGTTTTGGAGAAACACGTGCCCATATCGTGTATCAACGAAAATTTGTTTCCTAGCTTCTTACACTAAACATCTTATTCTTTTCAATAACCAGCAAGAAATGTCTTTTATTTACGTAATTTTTGTTTTTTTTTAGTCCTATTATTACCTCTTTTTTTAAACAGAATTGAAAGAAGAATAAAAAAATGTCGACCGTAACTTTGACGGTGACAGAAAAAAAAACATTTTTCTGATGTTGGTAACCTTGATTTCTATAGAGCATTTCGAATTATTTGTGCTTATATGCTGCGTCTGAGGAAGCAGCAAAAATGCTCTCTGAAAGGCATATGGTAGGTTTTCTTGCAAAAATAATTTACTTGTTCTGTGTATGTAAACATATTTGCTCTTCTATTAAAACACATTCGAGAGAAACTTTTCTACGGTCTCTGAACTTACGCTAGTCGTGTTGCTCAAAACAATAAATTTCAAGCTAACGAAGTGTTTCGGCAAAAAAAATGGCGTGCATCGAAAGCGTTCAGAAAATAATACTTTATTCACTGCTCTACAATTCAATATGATCAAGGGCAAGCAATGCAAAATTTTTTGGTAACACGTAAATATTTTGTTTAAAACTAAAAAATGATACGTTTCTTGTTATCGATTACCGATCAATGTATAGCTGCCATAGATTATTTTCGTTTCTATGAACGAGCACGCAAGTGCAATTGTATGGCCAATAAAGAAGAAGAGCCTGCATTGGAGAAAAAGTCTATTTTCACATAAACACTATATCTGCCGTCAACCAAGTTAGGTGTAGTTCGAACAGCACTGGCAAAATTCTCACCTAGCAGAATTCAACAATTCTGCTGTTCAATACAAGCAAATTTCTAGCAGAATTATGTATTCCTTATGATTAATTGACAAGCAAAGTTCTAATAAAATTCTGCTGTGAATACAGAATTCTTACATTCTGGTTGTGAGAATTCTGGCACCCCTCACATATTAGGCATTTCAATTTTTCCGCAATTTTCTCCGTCTATTCCATTGTGAAGACAATCAATTTTACCGTCACATATGTCACGCCAACCCAAGTGAGAAAAAAATAGGGAGGACGGGCGACATGACTAGTCCAAAAAGTCTACTATACCCGTCAAGTCTAGTCTAATACGCCTTCCATATCTATTGTGACTAGTCCGTATGTCCTTTTACCCGTCTAGACTGGTCTGTTTATTCATTTACCCCCACCTGGACTAGCCCATAGCAGGGGGGAATATAGTAAAAAAGGGAGAAGAAAGTTAGATTACAACATTAGGGACACTTATAATACTATTAAAAATCAGACTGGCGTCTTGACGGCAACCCATAATACAGTAAGCCTTATGTCTATGTATATATTCTAAAATGCAAATGGGTGTCTTCCATATACCATGCGTGCAGAAATCACTTGATGGAAACTGATTCTCACTACCCGAAAATGCCTTTAATGGTAGCTAGAAGGACTGTTCCTAGGCTAATATAAACTGTTGTATGTTCGTAAAGATTATTCTATCTTTTAAGTACACCGTCAGTCCGAATTCTGAATTATCTAAATAAATATTAGAAGGAAAAAAATTGTTGAATAAATTGTCCTGGTGAATTGTTAAATTAGTGACTAAAACAGACAAAAACATGAGATACAATAACTACAGTTTTCAATTTATTTTATTCAATTTCGTCTGAATAATTTTTGAATTTATAAAAAAATATTTTTTATTCATATGAAAAATTGAATAAAACTTAGAAAAAATTCGTATTTTGAAGCATCTTAGAATGACTAGAAATATTGATAAATTGATCTCTCGATCAAATGGCTCAATGGTCTGAACGATGGGTGAGTAATAGTTGGTATGTGTGTTCGAATCTAGTTGTAGTCATAAAATATTTCAGTTTAGACCAGTCAGGATCTCGTCATTATATAAGACCGCAACTCATCATGTAAAGCGTCATGGACGCTCTTACTTTTATTTAGAATCATATTTTTGACGGGCGTCAGCATGGTACAGCATGTCTAGACTTTTTTTTCGAAAAAGACTAGACTGGACGGCCGACTTGTCTAGAAAAAAGACTAGTCTTTTTTCTAGTCTTTTGGTCACCTGGGTGGTGATCATCCACGCTTTGCAAACTCATGAAGTACATCAGAGAGAAGCAGATGATACAACTATAATTTGAAATCAATTTCTGACTGGCACACACACAAAATAAACGGAAAAAATGTGTCAAAATAGATGAGCGAATAAAAAATATAGTAAAATACTTTCACAATGTCTCGCATGATGAATACTTGCTTTGTTACTTGTCACCATCAAGCTGTTCTTTATTTATTCTTCCCTTGTGTGTAATTGTCCTTTTCGTAAATATTCTTGTACAAATAGTTAGTCATGGAGTTTGTAAGAACTATAAACATAATATAGGAACAGAGCAGGAAAAAATCATTTCGTACGCAAACACCACACGCGTAAACATCGTAATACCGTTCTTACATCGATTGCCGTTCATCAGGCACATTCCTTTCGGATTAAAAAACGTCATCTTNAGATATTTTAGATGATAAGATGTTTAAAGACTGAGTCTAAAACTTTACTTATAGAACTATTCGTATATTTTGAAGACAATTTTATTGGCCGAGTAATATTTAGAAATCGTCGAAAAGATGCTTGCTTTAGTATATTAATGTGGAATTGTTTTTTCGAGAGTTAATTTAGATTTACCTCGTACGAACAATCCTGTTGAGGAATGACAAAATGCTTTTCACATAAGTACAATTAGAGTTTTATTTATTATACTATTGATTGTTTCATATCTAGAATGTTGTTGCCCAAGTGAGCAAAAAAATAGGGAGGACGGGCGACATGACTAGTCCAAAAAGTCTGCTATACCCGTCAAGTCTAGTTTAATACGTCTTCCATATCTATTGTGGCTAGTCCGTTTGTCCTTTTATCCGTCTAGACTAGTCCAATATATTCTGAAGCATCATTATGACTAGTCCTTATGCCATTTTACCCGTCTAGACTGGTCCAAGATATTCCAGAACATTATGTTCTGACTAGTCCGTATGTCCTTTTACCCGTCTAGACTGGACTGTTTATTCATTTACCCCCACCTGGACTAACCCATAGCAGGGGGAAATATAGTAAAAAAGGGAGAAGAAAGTGAGATTACAACATTAGAGACACTTATAATACTATTAAAAATCAGACTGGCGTCTTGACGGCAGTTCATAATACAGTAAGCCTTATGTCT